TTATGACAAATTCACAGTCTACCTTATACTAAATGAGACAAACGCAAAATTCATTTTTCTAACACTAGAAACAAGACAGGGATATCTGCTCTCACCTTTTCTTAGTATTGGAAGTATTATCTGTAGAAATTAGACAAAGAAAGAAATAAAAGGCATGGCAAAGCAGAGGAGTATGATCCAAGTGCTTGGGTTTGCATGTGTGTGTGAGATCTGGAAGCGGCTCCTAGCTTCAGCCTGACACAGAACTGGCAGCTGTGGTCATTTCAGCAGTTAATGAGCAGATGGAAAAAACTCTCTCACTTTGTTTCTTGCTCTCCCTCTATATCTGTACAACTGTCTTGCAAACAAATATTTTTTAAAAAGATCAAATTATTCCTGTATGCAAACAATATGACTCTATATACAGAATAACATAAAAACTTCACCAAAAAAAGAAAAAAGACCCTGTAAGAATTGTTAATGAAATGCTGTAAGGTTAGGTTTCAGAATATAAAATCAACATACAAAACTCAATAAAGCTTTTAAGCATACCACTAACAAAACTGCTAAGAAAGAAATTAAGAAAGCATTATCCTTCAAAATAGCTACAATGTAGGTTAGAATAACTAGAAGTAAATTTAACCAACAGTTAAATTTACAATATTTATACAACACTAATGAAAGCAGTTAAAGGCAAAAAAAAAAAAAAGCCCATGTTCACTAATTAGAAGAATATTAAGATGTCTACAATACTCAAGGTGATCTAAAATTCAATACAATCCTTGTCAACATACTAATAATCGTCTTATGAAAAACAGAAAAAATAAAAATCATAAAATCCATTAGGAACCACCTAAGAGTCTGAGTAGTCAACAAAACTAGAGTAGAACAAAGCTGGAGCCATCACAAAACCTTGTACTGAAACATGTTACACATAGCCACTGTAGTTAAAACAGCCTGGTACTGGCATTATAAACAACCACACAGGCAAAGCAATCTGCATACTAACATCTGATTTTCAGTAAAGGCAGCAAGCATATATGGAAGTGCTTGAAAAAGCTGATGGGGTTCTGGCTAATACCCTCTCCTTCCACACACTGGGATCCCATGTGGGCACCAGTTTGTGTGCCAGCTGCTCCATTTCCCATCTGGCTCCCTGTTTGTGGCCTGGGAAAGTAGTAAGGAAGGCCCAATCCCTTGGACCCTACTCCCATGTGGGAGATCTGGAAGAAGCTCCTGGTTCCTAGCTTCAGATCAGCCCATCCCCAGCCACTGAGGCTACTTGAGGAGTGAACCAGTAAACAAAGATTTTTCACTCTGTCTCTCTTTCTGTTAAAATCAGCCTTTCCAACAACAGCAAAAAAAATAAATCATTTTGCTTAAGATTTATTTACTTTTTATTGCAAACTCAGATATACAGACAAGAAGAGAGACAAAGAGGAAGATACTCTGTGCACTGATTCTCTCCCCAGGTGGCCACGACGGCCAGAGCTGAGCCAATCCTAAGCTGAGCCGATCCAAAGCCAGGAGCCAGGAACCTCCTCCAGGTCTCCTATGCAGGTGCAGGGTCCCAAGGCTTTGGGCCATCTCTACTGCTTTCCCAGGCCACGAGCAGGGAGCTGGATGGGAAGTGGAGCTGCCGGGATTAGAACTGGCTAGCGCCCACATGGGATCCCAGCATGTTTAAGGCAAGGAATTTAACTACTTCGCTACTGGGCTAGGCCCAAAATAAATAAATCTTAAAAAAAATAAAGTTCATAGGAAATGAAATTGAAACAGAAAGAAGTTTACATGGGTGCAAAAATTTTGAAATCATAGCACACTCATATATTGGAGAAAGGAAAACTCCTTTTAAGAAATGATTGTTATTTATATACAAAGAAATAAGCTAGATACCTATCACTTATCACATACAAAAGAATGAACTCAAAATGAATTAAAGATTCTAACATTACTGAAAGAAAATATAGGGGAAATGCTTGATCACTGCTCTAAAAAAGATTTTTTTTGGACAGGAGCCCAAAAGCAAAAATCAATAAACGGAACTATATTAAAGAAGCTCTATAAAGAAAACAATCAATTTATCTGGAAACTATTCATTTGACAAGTGATTAATTTCCATAATACATACAGAAGCAAACAAAAGTAAAAGAACAAATAACTCAATTAAAATTGGATAAATGACATGAACATACATTTTTCAAGAGGACATGGTAGGGCTCAAAAAGAAACATGACAAAATGTTCAAACACTGCTAATAATCAGGAAAATCTAAATCAAAACCCTGAGGTCAACTCTTACATTAACCAGAATGGCTATTATAAAAAAACATGAAAAACAATAAATGCTAGTTACGATGTGGAAAAAACAGGACCCCTATTACATGGTTGAAAGTTAAATTAGCACAGCCATTAGGGAAAGCAGTATGGTAGTTACTCAACTACCAAATGACCGTGCAGTCCAACTCTTGGGCATACACCCACATGAACTGAAATAACCATGCTGCAAAGACAACTGCCCTCAATGTTTATTACAATAGTACTGATAATAGGAAGATTGGAACCAATCTAAATATGTGCCTATGGATCAATCGGTACAGGAAATGTGGTATGCAAGCACATACAAAATAGAATATTACTCAGATACAAGAAATTCTGTCATTTGCAGCAACAGGGATACAGAGGGAAATAAATTTGTTAAGTGCAGTCAGGCACAGAAAGAAACTGTTATATGCTCTCATTTTTATGTGAGGTTGAAGATGTTTTCAAGAAAACTGAAGAGCAGTTAGCAGAGTATGGGAAAGGAATGGTGGAGCTCCTCAGAGAGAAAGGACAGCTAATGAGTACAGAGTTGAAATAATAGGATTAACTTTTAAAATACTATTTTATTTTTCTACAGTACATTCATGTTTTTTCTACAGGCCATGGGATGTCCTTTCCCTTCTCCCCAAATCCCAGCCCTTCCCCAGTGGCTTTCCCATATATCATGACAATAGTATAGTCCTTCAGTATCAGGCATAAGTCCATCAATCTGCTATTTGACAGTATCCTGAGATTGCACGAATGCACAATGGCAGAGTGTCCAGTATCATATTGTCATGATATATTTAATAATTTCATTGTGAGTCCGTCTTTAACTTGGAAGTAGAAATCCATACTGCATTGTATCTTCACATCTAGATGTGATAGTCTCTTTTAAAAAATGTTTTTAAAGTCTTTTAAAAAAAGATGTATTTATTTATTTATATTGAAAAGAAAGAGGTTTTTTTTTAAAGGTTTCTTTATTTTTTATTGGAAATGCGGAATTACAGACAGAAGGAAATACAGAGAGAAAGATCTTCCATCCGCTGGTTCATTCCACAAGTGGTCACAACAGCTGGAACTGAGCTGAGCCAGGAGCTTCTTCCTGGATCCCATCCTGCATTTGCAGGATCCCAACATCTGTCCTTGACTGCTTTCCCAGGCCACATGCATGGAGCTGGAAGGGAAGTGGAAGAGCCGGGCTATGAACTGGCACCCCTATGGGATCTGTTACATACAAAGCAAGGACTCTAAGCACTAGGCTACTGCGCCGGGCCCAAGGATTAACTTCTAACAGGATTCCAATAATTGATAATAATTTAATAGTCCAGTTGCAAATAGAATTTTAGATTTTCAAACACAAAGAAATGATACATGCAGTGACCCTGATGGGACCATTACATCTGTACATGTATTGAAATGCTGCGTTGAATCCCACACCTATGTATAATTAGTATTTAAAGTTAAATTTTACATAGTGAAAATAATAATTTCAAAACAATAGCAATCTATGATAATAACTGTGTTTAAAAAACTGAATCGACAATAGTATAGAAGATAAAGGGAAAAACAATGAACTAGTGCGGTGCCATAATAAGACTACATAAGGCACCAGCTTTCCATATGGGTGCTGGTTCATGTCCCTAATGCTCCACTTCCCGTCGAGCTCCCTTCTTGTAGCCTGGGAAAGCAGCAGAGGATGAATCAGGTCCTTGGACCCCTGTACCCACATGGGAGACTTGGAAGAAGCTCCAAGCTCCTGGCTTTGGATAGGCTCACCTTAGGCCACTGCAGCCAATTGGAGAGTAAACCACCGGATGGAAGACCTCTCTGTCTCTGCTCTCTACAACTCTGCCTTTTAAATAAAAATAAAGAATGAAAAGAGAAAAGCACTGAACTTACCCAGGCAAAAGACAAGGACAAATGTAAAGCAAGATCATTTGTAAACTGTCTCCTGAAAATGAGCAGACCAGATGCTGATACGAAAATACCAATTAAGGACTTTCACACAAAGGTATTTCCTTAGTGAACAATAATTTTATTTCTTAAAAGGATTCCCTAAAAATATTTTAACAGTGGATTTTTTATTTAAATTAAGTGCTCTTCACATTTTCTCTATGTATATTTCTAAATGTGTATCATACTTCAAAACAAAAAGTTTAAATCAATATTTTAATGGTATCAGGCTGGGCCACATGTAACTCTTCCTATAGACTTTGAAATATAAAGGTAAAACTGTTAATAATCATCTATGTTATAATATCTGCCTTCCAAAGAAAGGAAATAATATTGTGGGCCTGGCACGATGGCGCAGTGGTTAAGGTCCTCGCCTTGCACACACCGGTTCTAATCCCGGCGGCCCTGCTTCCCATCCAGCTCCCTGCTTGTGGCCTAGGAAAGCAGTCGAGGATGGCCCAAAGCCCTGGGACCCTGCACCCGCATGCGAGACCTGGAGGAGGCTCCTGGCCTTGGGTTGGCTCAGCTCCAGCCATTGTGGCCGTTTAGGGAGTGAATCATCAGATGGAAAATCTTCCTCTCTGTCTCTCCTCTCTGTATATCTGCCTTTCCAATAAAAATAAAATAAATCTTTTTAAAAAAGAAAATAACACTGTAATAGAAAAGTATACAACCGTAACAGAAATAACTGTCTTCACAGCACTGCAGTAGATGCTTTTCTGAAAGCTAAAAGAATAGTTATCATCAAGAAGCAAACACACATACCTCCTTTCACACCAGTGGAAATGAGGATGGGAGGAAGGCCATCTTCAGGAATAAGATTCATTGCACTTCCAACAGGACTTCCAACCTGAGTTATACTCCCAGAGAATAAAGAAATATCCGTCTATAAAAAGCAAATCAGTGAGTATTACAGAATGCTTGAGACTCCAGCAGAACAGAATTTAAAATGGAAACCTAAGTGAACTTTGAAATGTCCTATTTTCTAAAAGATAAACATACTGGAATGTTCACAGCAGGTTTCTTTAAAACTGTCAAAATTAGAAGCAATCTAAATGTCCACTAACAGAGAAACAGAAAATATTGAGGCAGGTCCATAAGCTGGAATACTATGCAGTTCAAAAACATCAATCAAAAAACTTAATATATGTAACATAAGATTCATAAATACCTGGTTGAGTACAAGAAGTCTGGCACAAACACACACACTATATGTTTCCATTTATTTGAAATTCGGAACTATCAAAACAACTTAGGGAGATGAAAGAACAACAGTTACCTTAGAAAAGGAGATGGACAGGTACTGATAATCTATCAGGAACCTTGTGACAGAAAGGTGCTGTATCTTCACTTGAGTAGTGGTTTTACAGATTTATATTTACGAATTTTATAGTAATAGTTGCATATCTTCTGTGTGGTTATACTATGTGAAAATGCACTATATTTAGGTACTTCAAAAGTTTAGGAAAACAAAATCAGAGGAAAAGTTATTTTGGTACATAATTAATCCATGCATTTTTTGAAAGATTTATTTATTTATGTATTGTATCAGAAAGTCAGATATACAAAGAGGAGGAGAGACAGAGAGGAAGATCTTCCATCCAATGATTCACTCCCCAAATGACTGCCACGGCCGGTACTGTGCTGATCCGAAGCCAGGAGCCAGGAGCTTCTTCTGGGTCTCCCACACGGGTGCAGAGTACCAAGGCCTTGGGCTGTCCTCAATTGCTTTCCCAGGCCACAAGCAGGGAGCTGGATGGGAAGTGGAGTTGCCAAGATTAGAACCAGCATACATGTAGGTTCCCGGCACTTCGAAGGCGGGGACTTTATCTGCTAGGCCACACTGCTGGGCCCATCCATGTAGTTTTTTTAATGTTATACATTTTCTATGATCCCCCCGTGTACATATACACAAATATACATATATGCATATATATATATACACACATATACGCATACACATTTCATTAGGCTACTTCCAAAAGATTAATGCCCTTTAAGGACTTTGCTATATATTTTCAAGACTTGGAAATATATTCGGTTTTTTTTTTTTTAAATGCGCCCATGTTGTGGCAGGTGTTTGGTGGTTAGGACGCAAGTTGGGACACTCACATCTTGTATCAGGATGCCTGGGTTAGAGTTCTTGCTCCTGGGCCCGGCACGGTGGCCTAGCGGCTAAAGGCTTTGCGTTGAACGCGCTGGGATCCCATATGGGCGCTGGTTCTAATCCCAGCAGCTCTACTTCCCATCCAGCTCCCTGCTGGTGGTCTGGGAAACCAGTTGAGGACGGCCCAAAGCCTTGGGATCCTGCACCCGTGTGGGAGACCTGGAGGAAGCTCCTGGCTCCTGGCTTCGGATCGGCACAGCACCAAACGTTGTGGTCACTTGGGGAGTGAATCATTGGATGGAAGATCTTCCTCTCTGTCTCTCCTCCTCTCTATATATCTGACTTTGTAATAAAAATAAATCAATCTTAAAAAAAAAAAAAAGAGTTCTTGCTCCAGATCCAATTCAAGCTTTCTGCTAATGCAAACCAAGGGAAACTGCAGAGGATGGCTTAACTAGCTGGGACACGGCCAGCCCCATCCAGGATCTGGACTGAGTTCTCCACAGCCTGTTCTGGTCTCTGCTTAACGGCTGGTGTAGGCATTTGGTAAGTTAACAGGTAGATCTGTCTCTTTTTTTAAAAGCATGTTTTCCCTCAATTTACCCAATAAATATTAAAATAGCACTGCATATTGTGAAAGCACAAAATTTAAAAAGTTTACCTTCTCTAGTGCTTCTAACATTCAGCTGAACTTCGTTTCTCTCTAACATTTATCTACTGGAGTTCCCCATTTGTTTAAAGCTGCTTCTGTTTTGGGTTGGTATTGTTATAGGAGTGGGTCAAGTAGCCACACACAGTTCTGGCATCCCTTGTCAAAGCCATGGTTAGCTTCAGATACAGGACCTTACTATTGCTCTGAGTGGCTGATGGCCCAAGGCACTAGGGCCCCTGGCCCCCTAGTGCATATGGAACTCTGAGTTGCTGGCTTGCTGCAGCTAAAATCTGGAGAGGGAATCATCAGGTAGGACATACCTTTCTTCCCCACTCTCGTCACTCTGTTTTCCAAATAAATACAATTTTTAAAAAATACATATTTGTCTCAAGAACCTAATATACAAACTATAATATATACAAAATTACTAGAAAAAAACTGCCACATGTAAGTGCCATGTTTCTAAATTATTTAGGCAGAAATTATCAAAGAATAGAGAAATTCACAGGTTTAAAGACATGAGGAACAAGATAGTAAAAATCTTGTATTATCCCTTAGATTAACTGGAAAGAGGAAAAGACATTTTCTCAATGGAGAAACATGGTAGACATCACTAAATGAAACTGATCTTTCATGTGATCTGCTAGATAATGACCATTCCTTCAGATGTATTCTGATAAAAAAAAATTATCCTCAAACTGCTCCATAGGGGAAAAATGATACAAACATAAATTGAAGATATTATGTAGAATGGCCCAAATGCCTCAAAAATGTTAATGATGTTAAAGAGATAAGAGAAATATAAGGCTAATTCAACACTGAAGAAAATCAAAGAAATCTGACAGCTAAATGCAACAGTAATTTTTCATACAATTCTGATTTCTAAATCAGAAACCTACATAAGTAAATATCTTTTACAGAAATAAAGGAAAATATCTTATTCTTCAAGAGATAAAGTTCAAATACCAAGCAGTAAAGCATAACTAATCCTTTAAATAGTTTATAAAAACAATGGAGGCAGAAATTTTGGTGCAACAGAAGTTATCCCCTATCAGAGGGCCTGGCTGGCGTCCCAGGTCTTGCACTTCCAATCCGACTTTCTGCTAAAGCACCTGGGAAGGTAGCAGGTAATGGGTCAAGTGACTGAGCTGCTCCTGTGCTCCTCACACAGGAGATCCAACAGCACTCCAAAAGCCTGACTTTAGCCTGGTCCAACTCTGGCTGTGTTGAGCATTTGTGGAGAGTCCGTGAATGGGTCACTCTCTCAGTCTCTCTTGGCCTTTCAAATAGATGAAAATAAATGTATTTTGAAAAGGTATATGCATAGTGTTAAAGTAAGTGGGGCAAAATGATAACAGTTAATGAATACAGGTGATGAGTGTATGAGTATTCACTACACTATACCTACCATTTTTTGTTGTGTTTGAAAATGTTTCCATCTAAACGGTTTTTGAGGGAGGGCATTTTGTAGCCAAAGACATTGTAGAAATACGAAGAATAAGACGTAGTTTTGATTCTTGTCACCCACAGCCATGCAAAACCTCAAAAATACAAATACTCCTTAATTGTAGGTTTTGGGGGAAGATATGTCAACATAAATCCCTTAATTGTAGGTTTGGGGGTGATTAAGATATATCAACATAAATACAGCAATTGTGACAACTAAAGTACTCTAGTAGTGTAAACACTGGGAGAAGCTGTGCATGTGTAAAAAGAAGAGGTATGTGAGAAACTCTTGTGCTTTTCTCTCTATTTTGATACAAACCTAAAACATCTTAAAAAATAAAGTCTTAGATCCCACATGGGCACCAGTTCACGTCCCAGAGGTCCTGTTTCCAATCCAACTCCCTGCTTGTGGCCTGGGAAAGCAATCGAGGATGGTCTAAAACCTTGGGACCCTGCACCTGCATGGGAGACCTGGAGGAGGTTCCTGGCCACTGGCTTCGGATCGGCTTAGCTATTGCCGTTGCAGTCACTTTGGGGAGTGATTCAATGAATACAAGATCTTCCTCTCTGTCTGTATATCTGCCTTTCCAATAAAAATTTCAAAAACTGTTATTTATTGATTTTGTTTTAAAAGTCAACTTCTATAACTAACTGCAACTAATGACCTAATACAACCCGGGTCACCGTTTTCAAAGGGAAAACCAGCAAAAGAAAGGAACTCGGTTTGTAAAAAGGCTCTGCTGTGTGTACTTTCAAATTGCAATCATAGGTGGCTCTGCCCCCTTACTAATTTCAAAACCTAGCAAAATAAAACCAAAAAGTTATTTGTCTCATGTGGAAAATTAGGCCCCAAGGAATAAGAATCTTATTAACCACAAATTATAACTCTTGTATCTATGGCAACATGGTAGCAATGATGACATAGTGTGTGGTAGCTTTCTTGGATACATCATCTGGGCCTTTCCTCAATCAAACCAGTGGTTTTCAATATCTTTTTTTTTTTTTTAAGATTTATTTTATTTTTATTGGAAAGGCAGATTTACAGAGAGAAGGAGACACAGAGAGGAAAGATCTTCCATCTAATGGTCCACTCCCCAAGCAGCCACAATGGGCAGAGTTAAGTCGATCTGAAGCCAGAAGCCAGGAACTTCTCCTGGGTCGCCTACGTGGGTATAGGGGACCAAGGCCCTGGGGCATGCTTCAAGGATGATGGACAATTTTTCTTTCTCTCCTTGCTGTAAATCTTCCTTTCCAATAAAAATAAGTAAATCCTTAAACAAGAGAAAGAATACAGGAGTCCTCAGCCTTCTACTGCCTAATCTTTCTCATCATGGAACTCCACGAGGTCACCACAGGACCTCAGGAACATGCCTTAGAACCACTGTATCAGCAGCCCATGAATTCCTGTAGCCCAGCCTCTTTATTTTTTTTAATAAATGTTTTAAGGCTTTGTTTTGTTTTGACTGGAAGGTCAGATATACAGAGAGGAGAACAAAGAGAAAGAGCTTCCTTCCAATGATTCCCTCCCCAAGTGGCCTGTGCTGTGCCGATCCAAAGCCAGGAGCCAAGAGCTTCTTGCTTCTTCCGGGTCTCCTATGCAGGTGCAGGGTCCTAAGGCTCTGGGCTGCCCTCATTTACTCTCCCAGGCCACAAGCAGGGAGCTGGATGGGAGCGGGGCTGCTAGGATTAGAGCCGACAATCTTATGGGATCCTGGAGAGTTCAAGGCAAGGACTTGGCAAGGCTATGTCATCATGCCAGGCTCCATTAAATACATTTTTAAACCAGCTTGTCTTTCTGTGCCTTTTGGAACCACATAACTCTTGTATTTGGCCTTTTAAATAGTGTCCCTTAATTATTGAATAATTTTCTTAGCTTGACTCAGTTCCTCTTTCAGCTTTTTTATTTTCCCACCATTGTTGCAAGAAATGTCTTCCAATTCTGATTCTTCTGCTTCACTCATCCTATTATTGAGGCAATTATTAATTTGCTCCATTGTGTCCCTCATTTCTAATATATCAGCCTTCACAGGATTCATGGCTTCTATTTCCTGTGTAACATATTCCTTACAATCCTTGAACTCCTTGTATGTGCTTCTCATTAAGAGCTTTATAACAAGTTTTAAAAATTCTTTATCCTCCATGTTCTCAATGTCTTCCTCAGTTAATTGAGGTTGGCAAAGGGTTTTGCTCCTTTGCAGGGGAGTCTTCAGCAACATTCATTGTGCTTCTGTCTCTTCTCTTGCTCTTGGTCATTACTATTCTGGTTAGCAGATTGCTCTCCTTAGGGCCAGTTTCTAAGTTGTGTTGCACGTTGGTCTTATAGTTGATTTATTGATTGTGTTCTGTACCCAGTTGTTTCTTTGCAGTTTGCAGTCACTTGTGCTACTCCCTCTAGAGTTTCAGTTCTAGCCTCTTACAGTATGTTTCCATCACAGTCTCCATGACCCTAGCTCCTGGATCACCAGTGTTTACCCACTGTGATCCTGTGCTGTGGCTGCATTGTTGCCTGCACAGCCTTTCTCCCACTCCCAGTTCAAGCTGGGCCCAAGAATAGTTAGATGCCAGCTGTGCTAAATCTGTGGGTTATCAGCAGTGCTGGTCATGTCAGAACCTGCAGTCAGTGAAGTTTGAAGACCACCTGGATCTATTTTGGGTGGAACCCATAGGATCCCAAGTCGTTACTATTTTCCCCGTGAGACCATACTAAGCATTGAGTTGAAAATGAGTTCTTTGCTGGCTCAGGGCCTACACAACTTACTATTGTCCCTTCAGCCATCCAACCTTTTCCTCAGTACACAAAACAGCACCTGATGTGACATTGGTGGAGGTCTGGGCCTGCTGGCCATTATGTTTGGGGACCACCCAGATCTATTTTAAGTGGAACCTGCAGGATGCCAAGTCAGCACTATTTTCCCTGTGGGATCAGTGTAATGCATCAAGCTGGATGTGAGTTCACCTCCAGGTAAGTGCATGTGCAGCTTCCTATTGTTCCTCCAGCTCCAAAACCTTTTCTTCCTTACACAAAATGGCACCTGACACAGCACAAGTTGGAGTGAGCCATGAAATCCACCCTGTTTCTATACCCACCTGCACTCTGTTTCTGCAAGACGAGCTTGGGTTCACCTCCTGACCTTGTGGTAAACTCCCCTTCCTACCTGGTTCCTGATGGAGCTCTGATCACCAAAAACCACTGCAGAATCTGGTCATGCAACACCACTCTACCATCTGCACTGCTTGTCCATGTCCCTGGGGCTACAGGGGTCCCACTACCATGGCCTGTCCTCTGTTTCCCAGGATTGTGGCCTCTTTGCTTCACCCTGGCTAATGATTCTCCATTTGCTTAAACATTTCCTTATCCTATTCCACCACCTTGTTTCTATCCCCAAACCAAGCCTCTTGCTAGAGCAGTAGCCTAAGCTCATCTAAGAACAACCTCCATGAGTAATTTTTTTTTGGGGGGGGCGGGGCGGGGAGGGAAATTTTCAAATACACACAGAGGACAAAAACAGTTGATTCTGCCACATATACCTAACTGCCACGCATACACAGAGAGGTTCCATCTGTACATTAAAATTGTATCAAAATTCATTGGGTTCCACAAGAGTCTCTAAACTTGGCAAGAGGAAGAAAGTAACACAGCACTGAGTAAAACAAGTATTTATCATTAGTTGCAGTTTTGTTTTTCTTACCTCTGGTGGTAGAGGACTGGTAGTTATTGGCTTGACTGGGTCATGCGACACAGCCAGGGTTCCTGCAGAAGAAGTTCCATTCATTGTTAATTTGGCTGCATCAGCAACTTCTCCATTGGGCAAAATCCCATCAGCAAACCAAACTCTCCTTTGTTCTCTGGGCTGAGCCACTTGAGGGGCCAGAAAAATAAAATAGGTATCAATGTGACATTGATAGGATTTCAAAGATAATGAAGAGAGGGTCACCAAATCCAGATGCATAAGATATCACTATTTAACATCTTACAACTAAAGAAATCAGAGGTATATCCAAATCCCTATATAAAAATGGTTACAAGATATATTCAAATATATTGTTTACATCTATGACTTAGATACAAAGATTTAAAACATGCTGCTTTGAAGTACTCTTACTAGGAGTTCTTCAACACATCTATGGCTATGTCATATGATCTGTACTGCAAGCAACCAAGCAATACATTCACAGCAGGCAAAAAATCAAAAAGTATATCTACCAAAAAGAAATCCAAAGTATGAGTTTTCCACAGGAATTAAATACCTGGAAAAGTGACATGGTACTTACTGTTAAAGGGCAAAAGATGCCCTGAAGGATGCTGAAGAATTATAAATTAATAAAGGAGGAACTGGCACAGATACATAAGAACTGGGAAGCAAACTGACCAGCTCTTCGGTAAAAGTGTTAACTGAAGAAGCAAAAGAGTGATCTGGCCGTGTAAAAGTTGTTTGCATTTTAGTAAAAGGACTAGGGAAAAGCTGGGAAATTGAGTCTGATGAAACGTTCTCATAAATCTAATTTTGAAAATCAATTCAAACAGTCAAAACAAAGACTAGGAAAGAATAACAAAAATGACAAATGAAGTAAAGAGAATAAGGATTTTAAGGAAGCCTGAACTCACAAAAATACAAGGATTATGACCAAGGGATGATCTGAAAAGACAGGTCAATGGGAAGAGTGTGATAATGTCAATAAAAGTCTTAGATCTTTAAAAGGGAAAAATTGGCTATTTAGCAAGGGGAAGGGAATATTACTAGATGAAAAGATATATAATTAATGAAGAAGATTGACTTTTAATTATCAAGAGAAACTTCTTGATGAGATCATTTTAAGAAAATACATATTGTTATTTTTACTCTATATGATCCCCTAAATTTACAAAGTACCTTTCATCTGACAAAATAAAAAAGTTATATAGTAAGCAAAAATAAGCTTATCCTATAATTTTCTACCTGTCATATCAGAATTGAAGTTCTGGGTTTAAAGGTCTATATCCCAACACAATATTTTCATGTTTTATAATGGGTAGATTTTTAAAAATTAAAAGAAAATGGCAATGTATATTCCAAAAATACAAAACTAGAACAGGCTTGTCAGAAAGAATTCTCATTTTAATCACCTACTAGACTCCCACAAAGAACATTAAGGCAAGTATGAGGGTAGAATTTTATAGGGTGATTTCACATTCTACACCTCTTTTAGAGTATAAGCAGTATAATTACTTCATTCTTAACCTGGAGAGGAAGGTGGCATAGTTTTCAGAGGTGCCGCCACAGTATCAGGCCAACACAGTATTATTTTTTACTTGCCCAGAAATAGTATCGACACATTTCTCACCTTGTTTTTCCACTTTAACAATCACCCAAAGGGACTTGTCTGCAGTGTTTCAAGACTTGTGCTGCAAAGTCACATCAGCACCTTTTTAGAGGAACATGGTGAGGAAAAATAGAGAGAATAGCACATGATCCCCTACCTTCTGCTCCAGGGTGCTTTAAAACTCCCACAGGTACCATCACAGTGGGAGGTGGAGAGCTCAGGGCTCCTGAAGCCTGAGCTTGCTGCAAGGGAGGGATAGTAGAACAGTATTCAGCAGGATTGTTAGGGTTAGGGCTCTGGCTTGAGGCACTCATCATGTTCTCCCAGGCTTGAGCTAAAGCAAATACAGACACAATCAATGTGAATGGATTGCAAAATATGGACATTAAGACCTCCACAATACTGGATAAATAAACTAGCTCCTGCTCATTAACACTCAGAGTATCTCTCTCTTCCAGCTAGTGAAGGTATTAAGGAGAAGGTGATTTTATTCAATAAAGGAAACAGCTTAATAAACTATTTGCAGTAAATAAAAATTTCATTGTATTAAAAATAGTAAAAAGAACTGTCTAATCTTCTGAGTTAAAGACTAGACCCCTAAACTTTTTAAAAGATCACACATTGCCTCAAAAGGGAATGAAGCAACAAAGGATTTCTAATGGGAAAACAGTTTAAATAGTGCATACATTTTATGAAGTTCTATCAGGAACTAAAACTGTGTAACCCCATCATAGGATTTTTAGTTTATTTCTAGATCAGACTATTTTGAAATATTCTGAAGCCTAAAGCTCAGAAACACATCTCTGCACTGAGTGAATTCTACTTGTACCTAACAACAATCATTTCACATCTTTGGTGTGTCTAAAAAGCACAGACTCCATCTGAACATGAAAATGCGCCAAGTTCATATAAATGTGATCAACCCATATGATCACAGGTATGTCATAATTCTGTGTAATTTTACTATTTAAACACTCATATATCAAGCACTGTCTTTAAAAATAAATAGGATGGAACTGAACTGGCACTTGGCTTAGAGTTAAGGTATGCACCCATCCCACACTGAAGTGAATAGGTTTGATTCCTGACTCTGACTCTTGACCCCAGCTTTCTGCCAGTATAAACCCTGGGAGGCAGCACAGACAGCCCAAGTGATGGATTCTTACCACTCACATGGGAGACAAGGATTGAGTTCTCAGCTCCTGCCTTTATCTCAGGCCGCTCCAGGATGTGGAGCACATTTTGGGAATGAACCAGTGAACAGGAGCTCTATCTTGCTCTGTCTTTTTCTCTCTCTGCCTCTTAAACATTTAGGATGCAATGCTATGGATAGGAAAGATACCATATATTACTTTCTCAGTTCAGGAATACTGTGTGCCCAGGAATAGAAAATAATCAATTTTTTGAAGTTTTTTTTTTTCAAAAACATCATTCTGTGTCAAAGAACAATTTATAAGATTTTGAATATTGCCTTCAAACTGCAAGACAGGACTATTTACAAAAGCTATGCTCCTTTGAAAGCACTAGCAGGAAGAGGGGAGGAAGAGAAAAGGAAAAGAGATAGGGAACACATCAAATTAAATGTTCAGAAAAAGATCAGGCTAAGCCATGCAAGAGGAAAGATGCTGGAAAAACCAGGAAAAGTAGATCACCTTAGGATCCCCTGTTAAGGGCCTCCTTTGCTTAATAAAAAGTAGGTTCCATATGAATCCTCTGCCATTTCCTTCATCTTTAGCTCTGCCATCTTAAAACAGCTATCCAGTTGGAAGATCTCATCAAATAAAAGAAGTATTAGGTACTATAATTAAGTAAAATGCTCTTGTCTGTGAATATGTTTCCAAAAATGAAAGTAGTGGAATAAATATCATCAATTGAGAAATCAAGTGAAATTACCATCATCCAAAAAAGTGACCCTTAAGAGTAGAAAGAATGATTTACATTTGATCAAAATTATAAGAATTCAGAAATGGGAGGAAATTAGGTGAATCATAGGAGATTAGAACAGATCAGATTAACCGACATGCAATAGGTTAATAAGGCAGCAACAGGAACACATCACTATGAGCAATGCGGACAGACAGGGCAGGAGGGATCTCAGAGCAGTTCCATCCTCTACGAGGGCACACTATCCAGGCACAAGCAGCAGTGGTGTCCAGAATCAGTATCTTACGTCTATTAGTGAATGTTCTGGCAACTGCACAAAGACATTTTCAAGGAGAAAACACTACAGCTTGAGCAATTTTATTGTCTCTCTTTAGAAGAATATTCAGGAGTACTTTTGTTTTCCATTTTTTTTTAACTATAAAATGCTCCTGATATATTTCTAGTTTCTTAAAAGATGAACAGTAAGTTTTATTTACCATCCCCTGGCTTTATCCTTTTGCCAAAAACCACTAAATTCAAAACCATTATCCTTATCACAAACATAAGTAGGATCAAAGAGATAACTGATAGGAGAAAGCAATTCTCTACTTGATCCTGGACTTAAAATATATATTCTTAACAAGATGAATGAAACAAAGTGTTAATAATAAGGTGTCCCCTAGATTTCTTCTCTTGGGAAGAAAATCTCAATCCATTTGTAATATGTTATCATCAACTTCAATTGCTCCCTGGCCCCACGCGCAACTCAGGTCATTTCACAGGAATATCAACAGCTACATAACATCAGATTTCCAAAGAACTTCTGTTCTTCTTGTAAAAAACTTAGCTGCCCTTTAGCATTAAATCAGGCACAGTAATTTTGAAATGCTAATGCAGCTCAAAATACGGAAACTTTCTCAATATGTTTAAAGTTATAACTTTTGAGAAAGTGAGCAACTTATTCAGAAAGACATTGAAGAAAAAGTTGCCTTTTCATAGGAATTCTATGGTTCAGTGTCAGGAATTGTGAAACCAACCTGTTCTCAATACTCACCATTCATCAGTACTGAATGGCAAATAACACACACTCTAGCTTCCTTTTTGTCCATATATAACAGTTTACATTTCAGGCTACAGCAGGAAGCACAGAAAACCTGTGTAGAAAAAGAAGACACTATAAACTCATTTGGGATCATAACAAATAGAACAGGTCAGTGCTGTTTGACAATGGTGATTAACAATGAAACTTATCACACTAAAGTAATAAAAACTTCAAAGAGAAACATAATTCAAGAGGCTATGCAATTCAAAAAGCAAGAGTGAGATTTGTAATTGTATCAACAATAAACTGAAAATACTGACTTAAAATAAAAACTATCACTGAGGTCATACAGAAAATATACAGCAGAGAAACAAAAACACACACCTGAGTTACAATATTTGATACATGCAATATCACTTTAACACAGACTGCTCAAGACAATTACTTCTGCTATTGATGTTTGGAAAGGAATTGAAACAATTTAAACAATGATTTTTGGTTTTTAACTCTGCTTTCTACTACCCTTATTGGAAATCAAGCCAACTGCTTTCCCTAATATGCAAAAGATCACACATCAAAATATACCAGGCAATCATATTAACAACAACAACAAATCAAAAACCCAGCTCCCCCTACAGGAAACGAGAGCTGGCAACCAAAATCAGCCATGGCAATTTCTAGCACCTCATTTCCAGCTTTTGGGTCTGGCTCCAAAAAAAATCTCAATTTCTTTTGTTTTCTACATCATGCAGTAAGAATTTCATTAAGTCTTTGGTAAGACTTATTTTCTTGAAAATTAAATCATTCACCATACAAGTCTTCATACAGGAAAAAAACTGTTCCCGGGAGGATAAACTCTACTCCAACAGCCTGTACAGCAAAGAAGTATCCTGCATCTTATGAAACTGACACAGGCCATACTTAACTCAAGCTGAGATAAATCACTGTCCTTCCTACTAGGTAAAATTGATACACACAGCTATTATGATTACTAATCTACAGTTTTCAAAGGGCTTTACATTCTCACATTCCTCTGTTATGTAGAAAAAAACAAAAGTATACTACCTTTTTCGTTTTCTACAGAAACTGAGTTTGATTGATTAAACAACTTTTAGAAATTCACAGGAAACTGGGACCAATGTGATAGTCTAAAGGCTAAATCCTCGCCTTGTATCCACTGGGATCCCATATGGGTGTCTGTTTGCGGCCTGGCTGCTCCATCTCCCATCCAGCTACCTGCCTGTGGTCTAGAAAGCAGCTGATGAAGGCCCAAGGCCTTGGGACTCTGTATCCATGTGGAAGGCCTGGAAGAGGTGCTTGGCTCCTGGCTTCAGATTGCCTTAACTCCAGTCATGTTGACTACTTGGGGAATGAATCAGTGGTCAGAGGATCTTTTCGTCTCTCATTCTCTTTGTAGACTTTCCAATAAAAAATAAATAAATCTTTTTTAAAAAAGACTTTTATATGTTATTTTTTTTAAAAGATTTATTTATTTTTATTGCAAATTCAATTTACAGAGAGGAGGAGAGACAGAGAGGAAGATCTTCCGTCCAGTGATTCACTCCAAGTGACAGCTATGAGCTGTGAACTGTTCCAGTCTGAAGCCAGGAGCCAGGAACCTCTTGCAGATCTCCCACACGGGTACAGGATCTCAAGGCATTGGGCTATCCTCAACTTCTTTCCCAGGCCACAAGCAGGGAGCTGGATGGGAAGTGGAGCTGCCGGGATTAGAACTGGTCCCCATAAGGGATCCTGGCGCTTTCAAGGTGGGGACTTTAGCCACTAGGCTACCATGCTGGGCCAAAAAAAAAAAAAAAGGTTTAATATCATTCAACACCCTGTATAACAGTGCACTCAAAAAGTAGTAACAAGGAAATTATATTAATATGGTAAAACTCATGTTGTAAAAACCTAGAGCCATCCTCCACAGACGAGGAGGATAAAAAGTTAGAAGAACTGAAACATTCACCTTACCTACCTTCTTCCATACTCTACTCTCCTCATCACCCTAACTGGAGGCCCACGTGGACAAGCATCCCTACGCAAACAATATGTACAACTATGAAAACACTAAACAGAAAATTAAAAATTTTTAAAAACTACAGCCAACATATGCAAGGATAAAAGGCAAACAGCTTTTCCTTTAAGACAGGAATAAGACAAAGATGTGTGCTTATCCATGTCTACTCAACAAGGTAATGAAATTTAGCCAGAGCAATTAAAAAGAACTAAAAGACATGCAAACTGGAAAGGAAGAAGTACAATTATCTCTGTTCATACATGACATGATCTTGTACACAGAGAATCAAAAGGTGCCATACCCAAACAGAACTGTCAGAACTAACACGTTCAGTCAAGTCACAAAGACAGGAAATCAGTATGCAAATTCAGCTGCATTTCTACACAATAATAACAATAAAACAAAATGAAATTAAGAAAACAATTCTATTTTAAAGAGTAAAAATAATTTAAAATTATATATTAAAATTAGAAGATAAAAAAGAATTAGGAACTTGGGAATTAGGTACTTAAAGAGGTGATTAATAAAAGAAATTAAAACAGAATAAATGCAAAGACAGTTTATGTACACAGATTTGAGAATTAACATAAAGATGTAATACTATGGGCTCAGCGCAGTGGCCTAGCAGCTAACGTCCTTGCCTTGAACGTACCAGGATCCCATATGAGTGCAGGTTCTAATCCTGACAGCCCAGCTTCCCATCCAGCCATCTAGCTCCCTGCTAGTGGCCTGGAAAAGCACTAGAGGACCCTGCACCCACATGGGAGACCCGGAAGAGGCTTCAGGCTTGTGGCTTTGGATCGGTGCATCTCTGGCTGTTATGGTCGCTTGGGGAGTGAATCATCAGATGAAAGATCTTCCTCTCTGTCTCTCCTCTCTATCTATCTGACTTTCCAGTATTAAAAAAAAAAAAAAAAAACCTAAAAAAAAAATCCAAAGCAACCCACAGGTTCAACAGTCTAGGTTGAGACCTCAATCACATGTGTTTTGTTTTTTTCAGAAACAGAAAAAATCTTCCTTATTCTCATACGGAATCTCAAGGGACAATAAACAACGAAAATAATCTTCACAAAGAACACACTCCCTTGATTCAAAGTGGAAGTAATCAATACAATGTGGTATTGCATACTACTAAAAGATATAAAAACCAGTGGATGAGAACACAGAGTCACAGAAGTAAACTCTCACATATGTGTCAAATCATGTTAACAAGAGTACCAACAGCACTCACTGTGAAAAGAAAAAAGATACCTACATTCAAAGGAATAAAATCAGATTCCTATCATATACAAAAATTCAAAATGGATCAAAAATCAAAGTGCAAGCACAACTATAAGACACACAAAAACACAGTGGAAAGCTACATGATACTGGATATGGAAATGGTATCTTGAATATTATTTTAAAAGCACAGACAATAAAAAGACAATCACATCTCATCAAAATTTAAAACTTTGGTGCACAAAAGACAAAAGAGTAGCAAGGAGAAAAACCTCCATAGAATGAAAGAACATGTTTGCAAATCATATGCCTGATAAGAAATGTTCATATAAGATATGTGAAGAGCTCTGTAAGTGTACAACAAAAAAGACAACTAAATTAATAATGGGTGGGGGCCGGTGCTGTGATGTAGCAAGCTAAGCCTTCATCTGTGGTGCCGGCATCCCACATGGGTGTCGGTTCAAGTTCTAGGTGCTTTACTTCCAATCCAGTTCCCAGGTAAAGGCTGGGAAAGCAACAGAGATGGTCCAAGTTCTTGGATCCCTGTACTGACATGGGAGACCCAAAAAGAAGTTCCCAGTTCCCAGCTTTCAGTCAACTCAGCTCTGACCCTTGGGGCTATTTGGAGAACGACTAGCAAATTGAAGATCTATCTACCAATTCTGCCTTTCAAAAAGAAAAAAAATACATGAATCTTTTTAAATATGGGGAAGCAGCAGGCCTTTAGCCTAGTAGTTAAGAAATGTGCATCTGATGCAAGACCTGGATAGGATTCCCAGCCTTGGCTCCTGCCTCCATTGTAGATCATGTGAGGCACTGGAGATGGTGGAAATGCATTTCCAGTTCTCACCTCCGGCCAGCTCCAGGCCTAGCTGTTGCAGGAATTTGGAGAGTGAACCAACAGATAAAAGCTGTCCTTCACATAAATTATTTTTTCCCGTAGGTGAAGAACAAGAATAGATATTTCTTCAAAAAAGATACAGGGGTTTTCAAAAGGTTCATGATAAAAATGTACTCTGAAAAAACATGCATGGATTTCACCATGGTGCACTGACAACAGCAAACATTGGTGTTTGGTGAATGGGACTCTCATTCATTGCTAATGGAAATGCAACATGTTATGGCCACTTTGGAAGACAGTTTACTAGTCTTAGAAGAAGAAAATGCACAACGCAACAATCACAGCGCAAGATGTTTATACAAGTGAAACAAAACTCATGTCTATACAAAAGCCTACATACAAATATTGCTAACAGCTTGATTTATAATTACGCCAAACTAGAAACCACCCATACATACTTCAACTGGAGAGATCAACTGCAGTATATTCATACAGCAGACTATTATTCAACTGTAAAAAACAAAAGCCATACAAAGACACAGTAAAAACTGCATTTCCAAAGGAAAAACGTAAATCTGAAAATCTACATCCTGTATGTTTTAAACTAAATAATATCCCAGGAAAAGAAAAAAAAAATAGGAACACAAATAAGACCAGTGGTTTAGGGAAAGAATGATGAACAGGTGGACAAGGGATTCTTAGGGTAGTACAACAGCTCTATAGAGAACATGATACATAATAGATACTTATCAAACTCCGTAATATGGCATTAACAAAAGGTACAGCTTTCAAAAAAGGTTCATTTATTCGAAAAGCAAAGTTACAGAGCTAGAGAGAGAGACAGAGATCTTCCATCATCTGGTTAATTCCCCAAATGGTGGCAATGGCTGGAGCTGGGCCAGTCTGAAGCCAGGAGCTTCTTCTGGATCTACCATATGGGTTCAGGGTCCCAAGCAGGAGGGCCGATCTCCTTGCTTTCCCAGGTACATTAGCAGGAAGCCATTTCAGAAATGCAGTGGCTGGGACTTCA